TTTACCCAGGAGGAGATCTCAGATGCTCATTTTTGTATGGGTTGATTAAAAACCACATTCCATGGGATGTCGCAAAAGTAATCACGAAATGAGTCCCAGTCTGTGTGTTGATATTCTGTTAATAGATAGGTTCATGGCTAGAGAGGGAGTGGAAGGAGATATTAACAGACACCACTATGTGATCAGAGTTGTCAAGAGGGCGGAGCTGCGTAGTGCAACAAGAATCAGGAATGGAGGTAAGACAGAGATTGAGAAGGGAGGTGTTACCATCCAGGTTATTGAGGAAACATGTAGGAAAGTCAACCACTTGTATGAGGAATTAAGTAATTAAAAAAGTTACAGGTTTGGATGCCAGTGAGGTCAGTTACAGTCTGTTTAAGCCATATGGTATAGTGGTTGTTAAAGTCACTGAACATGGATATGTTTGTAAACAGATGTAGAGAGATGGCCTTGTCTATATTATCAAAAATGCTATCAAGTACACGACAGTCTTGATAGGAAGGGGAATGAAATGAAAGAGAAGGAAGAGATAGCTTACTGAATTGAGAAGAAATAGACAGAGACACATATATGAATGGTCTGGAGATTCCAAAGAGAGTTCTCTAGCTGGCAGGAGATGATTGCAGACAAACTCCCAGGTCATGCATATGGATTTTAGAGTCCTTTCTAAGGAGGGGAAGGTAGCCAGGAATCGATAAATCAGAGGAAGGGATTGGCAAGTTAAGGTTAGTCTCACAGAGAGCTAGTATATAAGGAGACTTCTCAAAGATGAACAATTCCACACTGCAGAAGTTGGTATTAATACCACAGATGTTGGAGAAGGTAATGTTAAAGGAACATGTGAGTAAAAAGGAAGTATTAAGGAAAATAGAAACAAAAAGGACGCATACTTATAATCACAGAGAGACAGTTGAAATTTCTCAAGCACATAATGAGGAAGGAGGACTTGGAGAATTTGATACTCAGAGGGCATATTGGAAGCAAGAGGAAAACAGTGAGTAACCTATCTCACAAGCTTGTATAAATAGATGACAGTACATAGATTGGGAGGGATGGTGAAAAAGTAAACATTAAGAAATGCTACAAAGGATAGGAAGTTGTGGAGAACCATGATCAGCCACATCCTGAAGGTTGTTATATTTGTGCATATAGTGGCATAAGAGAACAAATGAACAAACAAGTACTACAGGTGAGGTGAAAAGGAAAGAAAAAAAAGAATTAAGATAAAATTCTTTGTATTGCTGATACAAAGGATATGAGTGAATGTTTTTTGTGGGTAAGGGAAGTGACTTGGAGGAAGAGGAGAGTCAGTAGGGTGTGGAGCTGATGTATGTGTTGAGTTGGTTGACTGAGATCATTGGTGGTGACGTTGATAGCTTGCCAATTTGTTGTGACTGTATAAAGTGTTCTGAGTGGCATTCTTAAAAGCAGATAAGTGGATCATGATGTTTTTTTCATGTTTTTGATATGATGGCAACATTCACAACTGGCTCCTTTTGTGATGCTCAGAGCCCCTGTGCGGAGAGTGACATTTTTAATTTTACTTTATAAGTATTAACATCCAGCCAACATACAGAGTGAATAAGAAAGAGATCTAACTTGAGGAAGAGTATAATAAGGTACATAGTACATAAATGATTATGACTGGTGCTCTGATGATTTAAACTCATATCTAATATAAATGAATGTATCTTCTAATATCTTGAGATGAAGAAATTGTCCAGCATTTACTGCCATATAGGAGAATTGATATTACATAGCAGTTACGTATTCTTTTCTTTTTTACTAATGAAATTTTCCTGTTTTTTAATATTTTGCTTAGATTTTGAAAGGTATCTTCCATTATCCCATGCATCTTCAGATTTCAATGTCACATTTTCCATCCTCCATCAAAACATATTTCCCAGGTATTTAAATTTCTGTACTTGTTTGATTTTGACATCCTCATTTTGTAGTTCAAATCTTGGGGTTTTTTCTCTTTCTGACAACCATGCGTTCTGTCTTCTTATGATTGATGGATCATAGATTTTTGGCTATCATTTTAGTTTTCATTTTATATAAAATGTCTACTGATATAAATTTATGCATCTTCAATGCATATTATGCATGAATGAATACTTATCTAACTTTCAAACTCCGATATATAGAGGGAAATGGTCAGGCACTCAGCTGCACAGTAACCCTATGAGCACACTTTTTCTTTATCTTAGTAAATTGTTGGTTGGTTGATTTTGTTTAGCAGCATATCAACCACTATAGCTTATTTAATGCTGAAATCTAAATATTCTGAACACAATTTTAATGCTTCAACTGAATATATTTTGAGTGCAATTGTATGCCTTCAACAGATGAAATGTATTGTTGTTAATTCTACTATAAAGTGTATTGCTGGCCATTTTGCTTTAAAATTGTATTGTTGGTGATTTTTATAATATAAAAATGTATTTCTGGTATTCTTACTATAAAAATATATTTTTATAGAGTTTTTTGTTGGGGTTCACTATTTGCCCATAGTTGGGCACCTAACAGGTGATAATATCCCGAGTGAGGGTGGATCTGGGAACAACATCAATTAAGAGGTGGTGCTACCTCCTCAAAACCTCCAATCTCCCAATTACAGGCCTTGCTGCTGGATGTAGTTTATCATCAATATTTAGGACTAGTTAGTAAATGAAAAGTAGAAACACCATGAAACAATAGGCAGCACCTGTCATAAGCCTCAGTAATTGTGGCCTTGTGCCAGATTAAGGTTTTCTTTTTGAAATTCTAAATTCTACCTGCAATAATTCATTTCTTGGGTTGATGTGGACATAAAAATATGGTGTTCCCAAACCAGCATCTTTTAAAGCATCTTTTGCATTTTCCAATTTTCTTTTAAGATGCCAAATGATTGTGATTTTTTCTAAGCTTAATTTGCCCCACCAGCTTTAAATCAATAATGTTCTTGTTGAAAAGATTTGATTTCAATAATATCACTAATGTAAAAAGTGACTGAATCTCTTGAGATTTACCAATTAAAATGTGACTAACTTTGGAAGAAATACAGAAAGTGTCAAATCTTCCTAACAATTACTGAAAATTAATCAGAAAGTTCACAATGCTAATTTGGTGAAAAATTAATTTAAATCACAAAATAAATTTTAAACTAAATTTGCTTTCATTTTAATTTCTCTTTTCTTTACTGCAGTTGAACATCGATTTTCCAAATTAGCAAATATAAGGAGTTGGTGTATCCCTTGTCATTTTTTCTTTATTGAATATTAAGGAAGAAAAAGGGACAACAAAAATGTATAATTATAATCTTATTTTAGAAAATTACCACAACAGAAGGCTGTTAGGCACCTAAAATCCCATATAGGATAATTTCAGACTGAAACTAAATCAGGTCAGGTTAATTAAAATTTGGGAATCCAAGATAGAGAAGAAAAAACATTTTTGTCATTTGTAAGAAACTTTCAATGCTACAATATCATATGTCACCCTCCAAAAAATGAATATTTGGTGTTACACACCAAATATCTCATTTAATTCAATTTGAAATATTTCATCAAATGAAACTTAAGACAGATAAAATGACAAATTATGACTAAGTTGGCAAGAGACTGGTGAGATTCTATTCCAAGATAGTTCTGATGGTTTCTGGAACAGAAAATCAATCTGTTCAGAATAAGACTGGATTAAGAAAGTAAAAAGCTTAGAGCTTGTTAATATGAAATAATTTTCTCATTGTAGATAAATTAGGTTCACCAATATTTACAATACTTACAGCTTTCTTCACCAAGAGACAGAGTTTTATTATTCTACTAGCATTGGAATCTGCCAACAACAGAAAGAATACCTGACAAACTTTAGAGAAGAAAGAAGTTGGTATTCATACTGATAATATACAGACTAGATACTGAACAAATATAAATTTGATATAAATTTATACAATTTGGGTTGGAATGATGGATATTATGACATATCAACCTTTGGGTTATTTAATGTTGAAATATGTTTTTATTATATTTGAGTCTATAGGTAACCATTAGTCATATTTATACTTGTGTCTATTGGCAACCATTGATCTGCATTATACTTGAGCCTAGAGGGAAAATTTGATCAGGTTTACAGTTCAGTCTATAGGTAAACGCTAGAGATGTTTTTATATATATATATATATATTTTTTTTTTTTTTTAAACAAGTTCTGTCTATCCAATTTTGTGTTAACTTTTTCAAATTCCCAAATTAGTTGTTTTACATAATTGGTAAATTTACTCAAGTTCATTTCTATTTTTTGTTCCCCCCACCCTTACTGCCCAGAGTAATTTTGAAAATTGCTACATTTGTTTTCTAGGATTTTGTTTTTTGTGTTTTTATGCAATTGTTTTTGGTTAACTCAGGTGTTTCCTCATTTATTGGAACCAATTTCAAGTCATTGAAGGTGACATTGTTTATAATGGTCAAACTGAATTTTTATGTGTATTTTAATTTTTCTTTTTATATACACTTTGATATTCAATCCAATACACAGAGGGTATTGTATATTGAAGTGTGTATAAAAATGTGTCAAATGCTGGAACTAACCAAAAACAGTTACATAAACACACAAAAAACCGAACTCCTTCAGAACAAATGTAGCAACATTTGAAGTATTTGGAGGGGGTGTAGAAACAAAAAATAGAAATTAACTTTGGTAAATTCACTGATTATATAAAATTGTGAAACTTGAAAAAGTTAATAAAAAAATTAAATAAACAGAAATTGTTGACATTATTTCTCAAAACATGTTTGAAAGAATTCTTGCTGTTCAAATACACCTTATATATATATATATATATATATATATATATATATATATATATATATATATATATATATATATATATATATATATATATTCTCCTTTATTTTGGTATAGTTTGCAAAATCGAAGGTCAACTGCATAAGGTCCAGATGATAATCTCTTAATTCTTGACACCATTATCTCAAAGAATTAGTGATTTAATCAATGACTTACCACTCTATAGATCCAATCATCCAATAAACCAGAGGAAAGTAACATATCGTCTCTAAGAAACTTGTGTCGGGCCTAAAATAAAAGAAAAGAGAATTAAGATAAAATATGCACATAAAATCTTTTGTCTTTGTTTTGTTTTTAAATATTTACTGTGAAGAGTGAACAAAATGTGAAACAGTTCTAAATTCAATCAATAATCAGTCACATCTTTATTCTTAGCTGAACATAAAAACATAAAATTTCAAGCCTGCTCAATGGTTATCACTTGATTATCTAAAATACCTACAATGATCAAAACTTTTTAAAATAGTAATAAAAAAAGAACTAATTTAGGAGAGAGATGGCTTAAAAAAAAAGACAATCTTTTAAAGTTATTTTTATATTTGTATTTGCTTAGAATGTATCAGCAGCCATATTGGATTGAACTGAATATACAAAAAAATGTCTTTACAGTCTTAATAAAATACATATATACAGAAATGCAGTATATTAGAATTTCTTGTATGCTGAGCAGATTTGGCAGAACATATATTTTTTATCGATACAAAACCATGAATAGCAAGTAGAAATCATGATCACATGGAGATCAAAATAAAGCAACATCAGTGTTCATATATTTTATGCCATCTTGAGAACGAGATGTTTTTGAAAAGATAGGCAGAACTTATTGTTGCCAAGAAAATAAGAGGTAGAAAATGGTAAAAGCTGAATAGCAAAAGAGCAGGAAAATGAAGCAAGTTAAATTTACTAGATAGAATAATAAGAAATGAATTGCAATTATAATTTCATCTCCTTAAAAAATATTCTTAAAAATGTTAAAAATCAAAATATACATTTACCACAAATATGTGTATAAATAGTCAAAAGTAATAGAAAAAAACATACAATTCTTTTTACAGAAAAATTGATCAGTTACAACTCTATCAGAATGATGTTATTTGAAACCAACAAAAAATTTTTGAAAAAACAACAACAGACAAAAGAGTGAGTTAAAGTAAAAAAAAATAGGATAATAGTTTTCATATGAATGTTATCTGCTGTATTTCCCAAATGATAAGATGTATTTCATTTCCATAAAATGTATTATCCTAATAAAACATATGTCAAAAGAACTGGTATTATAGAGAAGAGACCAATTCTCCAAAACTGTTCAGATATTGAGATAAGTCACAGTGAGTAGCATTTAAAAAAAAATTTCTTTCAAGGCATAAAATATACAGTCTGGAAAATATAACCAAATATTTTTAAAAATCCTTATTTATGGGTGTTCATAGACTGTAGATGTATCCAAACAAAAGTGGGGACACTGAGACAAAGGGGAAAATTTTTAAAGACAATGTGTATTGCATTTGTATGGTAGGTGTCTTCAGGTTGAAATTAGTGATAAACCCTGTATATCAGGAAAGTGCATTGGAATTTTTGAGGAAGAGGTAATAATGAACCTTTCTGACTAGAAAGTCCTTTTTTTTTCATGTAAAAAAAAACCCAAAAACAAACTTATTCACCCTTGACCTAAAATCCATCAACACCAACTCTAAAAAAACAAATGCTATAGTCAGCCACAAATGAAATACTGATAACAAAATAGAGACAGGAATATACAAAATAAATTACACAAAATGCCCAATGATATATATCAGTGAAACATCTAGAAATCTAAAAGAAAAAAAGAAAAGAAAAAAAGATAGTGATATACTGCATAACACCACTTTAAATGCACTTGTAATTCCACATAACATATCTGAATACCATTTTGACCAATTAAATGCTAGTCTAATCAAAAGAGAAAAGAATTTGCAAAGAAGAATTCTCCATGGTCAACCTCAGACCAGGCTTATACACAATATAACTGATCATCACAAAAACAATAGTAGCACAATGCTGTATTCAAACTCATAGAAAAATCAAACAGAGATCTACTCAGAGTGAGTTAATTTAAAAACCAGCAGATATTAATAGCTTCATTACAAGAAAATATTGATCAAATATTTATACTACCTGAACTAAAACAGCGGAACAGATGCACAGGTGCATCAGAGACAATATATAACATGCCACAAGATGCAGATGTGTGCTGTGCAGCAGTAAACATGTCAAAATATACACTGTTCTATGCCAACAGCTTCTTCTATCACACTTCTCACTTGTGGAACTTAGTTTGGAATGCTTAAGTGAACAGTGCCCATCTCTTCACATGTATGCTTGTAAATTTGCAGGGCATAATTTAGGAAGAGTTCAAATAGATTAGGGCTCTCATTTCCACCTTGTCATACACCTGATCAGGTGTGAACTGTTTTAGTACTGGAGTCTTCACCAGGCATGTACAATCTTTATTGAGCAATATAGTTCCTCTATCAGATCTAGACATTCAGTTGAGTCAGGAAGGTGGTTTCTAATGGATGAAATGGGGAAGTCTCTATTGATGTGGTCATATGCTTCTGTGAGATCAACATAGCAGGTATACAATTTTCTATTGGAAAGGTGTGCAATTTTCTGGAATTGTTTGATGACATATGTGCCATCATTAAATGTCTTAGCAGAACTAAAGAACAATTGGTTTGTTAGGAGTTGACTTTCATAGAACGGTGAGAGCCTAGTTAATACAATATTCAGTAGTACTTTCACCTTAGTGGATTCAATTGAGATACCCCTAGATGTATGAGGGTCTTGAGGATTATCTTTTTGGTACCATACTGCATTAGTGCATGATGAACCCCACTGCTTTGGAATATACTTTTCATCCAAGACATCATTCATGAAAGTGAGAAACTTGTTATTGAATTCAGGGAGAAGGTAAGCTATTTTCAAAAGTTCAGTCTCAATGGAAAGTGATAGTTTATACTTCTGTAGTTTTTTTTATATTTTTCTTGAGTGCTGTTATATGCCATACAGAGGTAAGGTATAGTTTACCAACACATCAAACATATGGGTCATTTCATGCTAAATTAGGTAGTTAATCACTATTATTTTATTCTGTGACTTCTTTGTAGACAGATTTTCTGGGATGTAAATACCTTGTATTGGTAAACAAATATTTTGTGGATTTTTTTTTGTGTGTGTTGTATTTACAAGAGTTTAAGAAGACTTATTTTTCTTGGGAAGCCTGTAGTGAGTGCAAAATAATAATAACTCTCTTTAGTCACTCCCTTCAAATTCAAAAGCCTGATGAAGAAAGGAATTCACAAATATATGTGAAATTTTCTTTAGACCAATGAAAACCTTTCCTTCACATAAATTAGATGGTCAGCCAAGAAGAAAAAGAAAAGAAAGAATTATTTACCAATTATATTATTAGCTTCTAACCAGAAGATGGTACTTCAAATAATTTTTTCTCAACAATCCAAGAAAGCTAAGTATTTCAAACTATCTCTCTTCATCTACTTTTGAATGTATGCAAACCATATATCCCTTGAGTGAACTACAAACTCTCTTACTTTGTTTTAAACATTTTTGAATATTGAATGTGTCAGATCATTTAATCTGTTGTATGAACATTTCCTCTTCATGACAATACACATTGAAAATATAGACTTTAAGAAATCTGATTTATTTTCCTGAAATTAGCTACTGATATTACTTCAAACATGTAAATTTATGAATAAATTCCTTATCTTGTTTTGTAAAAATTGTCCATGTGTTTTCTCACCCTTATCATCTTTCATTAATCATCTTAGTGTGGGTAATGGATAATGGATTCAATGAATTCAAACTCAGCTCTCTGATTCCTCAATCAGAGCCACTATCCACATTACTCTACAGGGCCTCCTCTCCAACTGCTGGTCTGATTTCATGAAGTTTTTTTACTTTGATAACTATTCCATATTGCTTGCCATTTTCTTTGGATATATGTAGTGATTTTGGTTTTGATGTCTGTGTTATATACTGTAAAAGGTAACTGCTCACAAAAGGCAAGCACAAAATTTTTTCCTACATTCAAGTACAGTATTTATATTCCCTAAACTTTTGGAGGGTACATCAAAGTTTATAGAGAAATAATACGAGTGCTCATTATAGGAAATGAAATAGAACACTTACTTCTTTTCTAGCAGCAATACAATTGGGTTCAGTGTGTGTTTGGGGCGTGCATGTGATCGTAGAGGCACAATGAAGTTATAGAGGCCATTGCTGGCATTGTCGGCAGCTATGATGATGGCTCGGTTTGGCCAGTTGTACTCTTTAGCATTGTTATAACTACAATGTTCACATGTCTGCAACAAGAAAATTTCAAAATATGTCAACTGTAGAAATTGCAAAAAAGATCAAAGCAAAAAAATATTTTCAGAGCTTTTTTAAACACCATCTGAAAAATGATAAGACAACATTTTATTGATGCAACAAGGCCAATTTTAGAGTCAGAGAACTTACAGGACAATATACAGCATTCAATGAATAAATTGTCATCTAAATTACACAAAATGAACATTACAATGACATCTCATTTTAACAGATATATTTACAAAAATCACAAAAAATATCTTGAAATGCAAAAGAGTAAATTTAATCACTAAATTCCCCATTGGCTTCAACCATGGCCTCCAGATAATTTCAGAATCTCTTGCATCTCTTCTAGACAGTCTCCTTGTTTAAGTTCATCTTTGTTGTTACAAGAAGTTTTGTTGGTCAACTGCACATGGTAATTGATGGGGTTCCAGTTTGGGGAGTTGGGTGGCCAGATGAATTTGTCTGACAGCCATAACCAGGTTATCCTGCTTGAGTGGCATGGTGCAGTGTCCTGTTGCCAGACATAGGGTCTTTCAGCAGCCACCTTCTTGACCCAGAGTAGGCCTCTATGTTGAGTCTGAGGATCTCACCAACAATATTGGGAATTCTTACCAGATCGATCAGCGTGAGTTTTCCAAGCAGTCATACGTTTGTAATTGCCATTAGACTTATCCAACTCTTTTCAAATCTTTCTCACTGTCCTTAGATTGACAGCCAATCACTCTGAAATGTTTGTATTGGAGCTTCCGAATGCCAAGCAGCACAGCATGCCGTTTCCAAATTTCTGGTAGAGTGAGTTGTGTCATTGTGCTCTTTTCCTCACAGATGGTGACCAACTGACCCTACTATAATGTGCATTTGAAAAACTAACAACACACAAAATTAAAAATATAAAGTGGCGACAATTTACCCATCGCACTCTGCACAGCTAAGCAATTTAGTGCTTTAACCCTTAACATTCAACAAGCTCAAACGCACCCTATAAATATAGGTTCTTAAAATCTCTTTGTGATTAAAATGTTAGTGTTTGCATTATTTCCTGTGTTATTTGCAATGATGTAATATTGTGTCATATATTATGGCAGAGTATATATAGGGTGGGTCATTGAGTGCCATTATTTACAGGTTGGTTTGGGCAGGTTGAATGCTAAAGTGTTATTGGTTTCAAATTTGTTACTCAGTGAACTAGAGAGAGCCAGACATACTTGAACTCAAATTGGATTTTAGCTTTTTTTGTTCAAGGAGATGACACCTTCCTCACTTTCTTTTTGAACCTCTTTCTCTCATTAAAAATTATTAATGAAATCATCCTTCAATAATGTATTGATATTTACTAATAGTGAGATACCAGGAATGATCAATTAGCAATGACCTGTAAATAATAACTTAACCATCATTATAATAGGCATCCATAATATTAGTAATCCCTTACACTTAATTATCAGAATTTAAACTTAAGACTTTTTCAAGAATTCTTACCTTTGTCCCATGAGCTGAATACAAATGGTAATAGTGAAATTAGCTGTTTCCATAAAGGAAACATGTGGCATTCATTAATCAAACATTTCATGTTACTGTCAGTGGAAATTTATAAAATCTTTCTCCTTAAAGCAGTTTTTCAAGAAGCTAGACTTTTCCAGTCTACTCAATGTTATTGCTATTTCTAGTACTGATGAGAGTTTCCTTCCAAGCTTTTAAATTTTTTCATGTGGAAAGCTGACAGTTTGATTATATCTTACATGTGCTACCCTTTTTTGTTGTTGCTGCATTTGGGAGTGTTCAAGTGATGTGGTTTCTGTTATTTGGTAAAGATCTTACTTTATGATTTTGTAGTACCAGTTGATAGAGTCTGAAGGTGGATTAGCTACTTTCAGATTTAAAGCAGTGATTCCCAAACTTTTTTGAGTTGCTGTCCACCTGCAGACCAAAACAAATGTGAAAGGAAAACCAAATATTTTTTCTCTCTGACCCAGCACCCCATTACCCCTACATGACCAAATTAGATTCAGTTGGAAGTAAATCCATGTTTCTGACCAGTCAAGTCTTGTTGGTCCATCTGGAAAGAGTTAAGTATGTTTAATAATTTCCTCTCTTTTCATAAAATACTTAATGAAAAACCGAAACAAAAATAGTTAGGGAGCAGTTATCTAAGAGCTAAGAATTATTGAATTCAACCTTTTACAAAGATAAGAAAACTGGTCCTCTTTTTAACAAGATGTACAAAGAAAAAAAAATTAATGTGCAAGAAATTGAAAATAGGAACTTTTGTTTAAATGTTTAATATAAGGTAGAAGGTTTTTTTTTAAAATACTTAATGCTTAAAATAAAGAAAATATGATGCATATAGTTTAGTTCAAGAATTCGTGATAGGAATAATGCAAAAATACTTAGAGATTAAAATCACAATTACCGTAGCTAATTGCAAGCAACAGAGTGGGCGTTTTTCTCTTAAAAGATGGCAAAGTGTTGGACTGGTGCCAATGTAAGGTGTGACAGGAGGGAAGCCTCGAATATAGCTAAAATAAAAGAAAACAGAGAAATCAATCATTCAAAAAGTGATTACAATAGTCCAAAACCGGTGTGCCGTAACACTTTAGTAGAAATCATTGCACGTTCTTTAAACATTTAATAATTTTTCATTAAATTATTTCTTTTTATGGACATTTTAAACTATAAAAGTGTTGTTAGAATGCATAAATTCCAGACAACATAGATCCAAATGCAAGCTGAACAAGAAGAAAAAAAATGCAATGAACTGCTTTCATCTATTGTATACCATGTATAGAATTGATTCATTTACCATTTTATTTTTTAAATCAAAAAGAGAAAACCAGTAAGAAAGAATTGCAAGTCAAAAGTCTTTTTTTACACTATTTACATCATTTGAACTGTTGTCCTCATCTTTACTGCCATATCCACAATATTTTGGTTGATGTACACTCTGACCTTCTTGAGGTGATATACATTGGAATTTTGAATCAAACCCTTTATTTAGCCCATAGGGGTAGATTATTCTAATTTCACATGCCATGCTTTCTTTTTGGGATATCTCAGTTTCGATTAATTCTCTTTAGTAACTCAACACTTTTTGCTGTGGCCAAGTATTGAACTCACAACACTTTGGATCAAGTCACGTTTTGGATTACAATGCTTTTAACTGTTTTTGTGTCCTTGGGGATATCAGTGAGTGAATTTTTGAGATGTATGAACCTAATGTCTCAGTAAGAATTTTTTATGAGAGCTCATATTACAATTTCCATTATTGTTGCTTTTCTTTAGCTTTCTGTATGGCAATAAAGATGAGGAGAACGGTCTGAATGATGTAAATAGTGTAAATAATCATAATACCTTAATTCAAAAATATGGACAGATGTCAAAAGTTTTGTATGTTATTGACTTACTATTTACTTGATTTCTACTGTTCCCAGAAAATTCTATGAGCAAATATTTGGAAATGAGTTTACTGGAAGTTTGTTGCTGTACCTGTATAAACATGGAGTTATTGTTTTTGCTGCCATTGCTTACAGAGAAATTAATTTGAGACTTACTCTAATTGCCTACTGCTGTTCCATATTCCATTAACTTCTGTTTTCTCCACACTCTCATTTTCATTCTCCTCTCCTTCACTATCAGTCTGGACCACTTTCAAATCAATATTGAAGGCGTCTAAAACGGCTGGAACTGGAGCAATGCTAGGACGCTTCTGAAGACTCTGAATGTTTAACTCTTTTGGCATATCAATTGTGTGACGTTTACTATTCTGGCGACTTAAGCCTGACCCTGGAGAATTAACTTTCGTATGCTGGAGCTCTAAGGCCACTGTACCTGAAAGGGAATAACAAAGAGAAAAATAGGAACAAATAATTACAAATTATTATTATTACTTATATGTATTGCATCTATTTGACAAATTTAAATCAAAAAATTAACAAAAAACTAAAACCAATGTATCAGTTGTTTCTGTCTGAATTCCTGGGATGAAGAGTTATCATTATTTATACATGGTATAATAACTATCTCACTTGTTGGCTATTGAGGTATGTGGAGGCTTCCTTATTTTGCTCAATTCAGCAGTAGCAGCAATGGAAGTGATCAGCAGGGTACAAGCGGAAGATCTAGAAGTCATAAAAATGGTGACAGAGCCCTATTTGTTTTTTTTCCACCTTCCTTTTTAGTGGCTTCTACCTTCAAGGCCAGTTCTCTCTATTCCATTTTTCCTTTTCAGTGGCTGCAACCATTGAGGCCCAGCTTGAAGGACTATTTTCAACTCTTGTTGCAGAATACATGGGGACATCCTGCCAGCTTGACTTCAGATTTTTTTATTCCTCATGGGAATAGGCAGAGAAATTTTCCTTTGGGACACCTACCCAAAGGAAAAATTACACACAATACTTGCTGCGGAAGACATGTACCAGGCCTATCAATTTCACATTCAGATTTCTTGTTCCTCCTGTGGGAACAAGTGGAGAAATCTCTCTCTACATGGGTGCCCCAATCTCCTGACATCAACCCCATAGAAAACTTACAAAGCATTATAAAGTACAGGCTCTCAAGAAAGCAGTTGAGCAACATGCTCCATAAGTTTTCTATGGGTTTGAGGTCAGGAGATTGAAGCACTCATGTCATAACACTCACCTGCTTCTCATCAAAGTATTCCTTCATCAAATTTGATTTGTGACAGGGGGTATTGTCCTGCATAAAAATGAGCTGGGTGGGATCGATTTACACCCTTTCAGCAGAAGGGAGCAGACAAGACTCTAAAATTCTCTTGTACTGCTTGCTCCTGAGGGTCTTTTCAATAGGTTTTAAGAAACCAGTTCTATGAAAAGAAAAGCATCCCCAGAACATTATACTGAACGGCTGCCTGACAGTACTTACTGCTAAATTCAAAGAGCTTTTAAAGCTTCTTCTTTGGATTTTAGATCGCTTATTCTTTGAATTTAGCCCAACTTTCGTTTTATCAGAGAACATTTAGTAAAAAAAATCAGGTGAGTCACTTTTATTAAACAGCACTGTATATTAAAGTGTGCAAGAATTAATTAGCAATGTTAATGTGATCAATGGCAAAATCACTTCATTAACAAGACTTAATGAGACATTAACTATTAAATCTTTGAATAACATGATCCTTATGTCTCATTAAGTTTTGTTAGTGTGGCGATTTTGCCATTGACCACATTAACATTGCTAATTAATTCTTTATATAATTATTTATTTATGATATATATGCTGCACACTCTAATATATATATATATATATATATATATATATATATATATATATATATATATAAAAATTACTTCTGTTTACATTGTAGGTACAAAACTGAAGTTAGCAAATATGGATTTGTAGAAGTCCCATTAAGAAATCTGTACTCCTTAAATAGGTAATTCAAACCTTGTTCTATCAATGTGGCCTCCATGGCTGAATTGGTAAAAGCATGTTTCAGCTGTAGTAACAGTTTCCATGAGGAAAAAGGAGCAAGTAATGAAGTGGAGTGATTATATTGAATCAATTGCTAAGTCTACTGCTAGGAATGTTGGTTCATTGTGTCATCAGAATCCATCTTGCACATTTATAAATCTACCATTTGTCCATCCATTGAGTATTGCTGCCATATTTGGTTTGGTGCTCCTGCTATATATCTCAATTTTATCAACAAAATCCAAAGAAGGATCTGTAATGTTACTGGTCCTGACCTGGCATCTTGACTTCAGTTACTTTCCCACCACTATGATGCGGCTTCCTTGTATTATTTCTATTAATATTTTCATGGTAATTGTTCTAATGAGTTCTCTTCCTTGGTACCTGCAAGAACTTAAATGTACTATTAGACTGATAAATAGGTCTCATCATTTTACTGTTGAACTAGCTAGATGTAACTGTAAGTCCTATTCTAATTGTTTCTTTTCTCACACTTCTTGTCTGTGGATGTCTCTTCTGGTTTCATGCTTCCCTGCCCCCTATGGCTTTTAAATTAAATTAAAAATTTAAATACATCATTAATTAATTCCTGTCTTTTTGAAACCTGTTCTTTTATTGTCCTTTCCCTTCACTAAAGTCTTCTCATTTTCTTTCACTCCCAGTAACTCCTTGTGTCTTAGTGGCATTATCACCTTGCTTGGGGTGAAGTGATGAAAAATGTTTATTTTTTTAAATGCTTCCCACTGTTTTAATTTAAAACTGTCTAGTAGTTTTTTTCACATAGCATAATTGATGGTATATAAGACTTTCCCTCTCAAAAAATGATTTAAAAATATCCTCTGGGTCTTAAATGTGAAACTTGTAGCAGATGTTAAACTAGAGTTATAGAAAAAGAATGTTGTTATAATTCTGCTTGTCTCTTCCTTAGTTAGCATGACTGTTACACCGTGCCAATATCTAAAAAATAATGAACTATTCTGTTTTGATCATGTGGAAAGACAGAAAAGACATATTGGAGACACTACTTGGTTTCATTGAGAAAATGAAGGAAAGATAGAAGGATATGCCCAGCCAATACCTCATAAATAATGGTCTGTTTTGGTCATGAGGAAAGGTAGAAAAGACATATCAAAGATGCTGTTTGATTTCAGTGAGAAAAAGAAAGGAGGAACACAAAATTCAAACAGGAAAGCCATGAAATTTTCACAGGTACAACTTGTGCGGTTGTTGAGTTACCTCCACTTACTTTCATAAAAAAATGTTGCTAAAAGACACTCCTTAAGCTTATAAGTAGGCAGTGACATTCTCTGTCATCCTCTCTTTTCATTTTTTTTTCTCTAGCTCTCAGATATAATTGCATGTAGATAAGAACACTGCCGTTGAGGTGTGTTTGCTTCTCTTGGTCCTCAGTTAACTTTTGACTCTCTCACACACATGCATATATACATGTGTCTATTACACATGCTTGTTACACTTACTTATACACAAACACCTTCATTTTTTGTTTTATTCATTCTTGTTCATTGTTTTTTAATATGCAACAATATTCTATTGTCTATGTATACTTTGTTTTGTTAATATATACTTATTGTTTGTTTATATAGTTTTGCTGTTCCAACTCAAACACGACCAGCATACTCCCACAACACTATATAATTCATGATTGTAATAATTAAAAAAATATCTGCTTGCTTTTCAAAAACATTGTCCTTTCCATGATATAAAGTAGATGCAATGAAATAATTGTACTCCATTTCTGCTTGTTTAGTAGATACTTGTTAAACAAGGTTAATGTTGACAGATGGCCATGTATCTTGTGCCAACACTTAAATCATTCTATCAGAAGAGACTTTCTTAATTACTGTATCAAATAAAACATCAGTTCAGACTTACCAACACTAGCTATCATGCTAGCGACCCGGGAGGCTTGTTCTGCCCCCTGGGGAAGACGAGTTTTTTCACCTTTGGTATCTTCTTGATTTGGGTGGGCCAGTATAAATGCTGAGTTTTCTTCTTTGGTTATATTCATGTAGAAGCACGTATCTGAGCCTCTCATTATGTGGCGAGGACCTGGATTTAGTTGAATGGTTGAATTGGGAATGTCTTGTTGAATGCCAACAAGACTTACTCCATATCTGGAAAAAAAAATAAAAAAATCGAGAATGAAAACAAGGATTAAACAGAATAAATATGATATAATATCAATTTGATTACTGCTCTTAGCAGAAAAGGACACCTTGCTGTTGTGAAACTGAGAACACTTGCTTTACTCAGACTGGAGATAGGTCAAATGTTTCAGGATTGATTGTTTTTTATGGCTTATCAACCTTTTCCAGGATATTTAAAGCCAGAAATATTTTTTAGGTTGTGAGAATTTTTTTTGAGATAACAGTGATACAAGTCCTATTAATTAATCCATAGATGCAGGGAGAAGAGGTGGACTCATACCTTTCCCAAGCTTATTTGCATGTAAGTGAATATAATGAACTCAACTGGAATTGGAACATGGCTCTCTGATTTTCAGTTCTGAGCAGTTATCCATTACACCACCTACACATCCAAGCTTACAGCACCTGGTATTTCCAAGCAGTTACCCATCTAGGTATTGACCAGGCTTGACGTTGCTTAACATTGGTGATAGTATTTCCATAAGCCTAACTTTCATGGGAATGAACCCTGTGAGTCTTGAAGAGCTTTATCAGATTGGAACTACAGAATCACAAAAAACTTTATGATATCACTCGAGGAATTTCAACAGCATCAACAACTAAAATGGATAGCACTTCTTAAACTTTTCTCATTCATAACCCCATTTTTTATCATGAGATTTTTTGTAACCCAAGGTATTAACCAACTACACTGAAAATACATATGTTGTCACTGCACTAATTGAAAAGGTGCTGCATGCATGTTTTATTACTGCAGTGTTTGTGTGGTGTATCACGTTAAATCTTGTGTGTTTGTGAAATAACATATAAATTCAAGTATTTGAATTTAATTTTTACAAGCCCAGCATTTTGGGTCACAACCCATAGTTTAAGAAGTGCTCGTATATATAAATAGAAGAGACAATAATGATATGAATTTAATTTGATATTAATTTAATTAGACTTAATTTTAATTTAAATGTTAATAATAATTTGACTGTATAAAAAATCTGTATCAATTCTTCATAATATTTTATATGTGCAATTGTATTATGAATTGTAAAACTAAAGATTTTATTCACATCATGACAAATATTGAGCCATCTCTACCGCTTTTCACCTTTATTTTTTGATTATCTTATTTTCTCCATTGTTACTATTATGTTGTAAAAGTAAGTAAACATGTATTTTGGGGATATTAGTGCTTTTTCTTCACTCCCACCCCTCTACCAATACTCCCACTGACAGTTACCAGTATTCCAAAATGCACATTCATCTAAATCACACATTCTAACTCTATTTTTCATTTTTCTCTTCTCTTGTATATATAATTTTGTAATCATTACTTATAATATCTTATCTTTCCATTACCTGTCTCACATGTTTCGACTTTCCACATATGTACAGTGTCCTAACATACCATGTTCTGATTATAAATCTTATCTTTGTTGTAGACAGTCACTGGATGATGGTCATGACAACTCTTACATATATGTCTACTTAATGGACAAGGAGTCAGAACCAAAGGAACTGACTTTCTTCACACTGTTATTTGATATTTGTGAGATGTGATTTGACAGGAGTTTTTTTTTTAAAGATATTTGACACTGCCTCCTCCATTGGGATTTTATTGAGACACCACCTCCATGTATTGATAGGCATTATTCTTAGACTTAAAAAACAAAAAACGTTATCAGAAATAGAAAATGTGAAAAAAGGAGAAAGATCAAAATATCTCTTAAAAAAGTACATAATATTTTTTATGTTGATTACTAATCAATCTGTGTTTTACTTACTTTCTGTGAGCATGAAATGATGCATATGTGAAACTTTTTCCCTCATATTCTCCAAAGAATTTGCTGTCGGTAAGTTTGATATGATAAATCTCATTTCCAGAGCCCCGACCGTATAAACGGTGCCAGTCAGCACTCGAAGTTTGCCCTTCCCTGCAGGAATAAAAAGGAAGAAATTATTTAATTGCAACAACTGAAGCAAAAAGAATAATTTTTAATAACTAAAAATGAAAAAAAAATAGATATAGAAACAATAATAAAAACCTCAAACATGTATAAGCCATAAAATATCTTCTTCAGAGAACACATCCTCACATTGAATTCTATAATTCATAAATATTTAAAACCATATACTATATATAAATGAGGCAAATTAATTTAAGCTAAGACAGTTTTAAAAGAGAAATAACAGAACTAATTTTTAAAGTAATTATATTATTCAATGCTAATATACAGACTGGAATTTTACATAACAGTGAGGAAAGTGAAACTGGTGAACTGAGTTCAAATTCTGGCCTTGTCTGCTGCATTTACTGTGATAGTACCTCTGAGCCTATAGTCATCACTTCTTCTTCAAGCCATTTGTGAAATAGCAGAGGAAACTAGGCTTTCTAGCTTTGGATGCTAACCAGTCAAAAAGAAAGACTACTTTGAACTCAAAACTGTGGGGTAGGCAACAGGAAACCACTATCTTTCCCAAATATAGATAGCAATTCACAGATAATAAAAAGAAGAATCTGTAGAGAGCTATGATTGAATTGATATGGCACATATATATATATATAAAATCTTATAAATATAAGTAAGTATACATACAGTATCTTACAAATATAAGTAAGTATACATACAGTATCTTATAAATATAAGTAAGTATATATATATATATATATATATAAAATCTTATAAATATAAGTAAGTATACTCGTTCGGAAAAACCTTAGGTGTATTGGCTTGTAAATGAGCAAACCAATACCCAAGGAAAAAAAAAGGATTAAAAAAAGAAAGAACTACGAACATGTAATTTTGTTGAAAATAATCGACCAGAATCTAAGCTCAGAGTCCAAAGAAAGAAAATTCCAACACGAGTAAAATAAAAATAACAATAACTAAGCAAAGTGCTCAATACGCGAAGTAGAGGAAATCTAACTATGAACCCAAAAAGCCAGGAAAACCTACCTAAGTTTCACCTATGCTGATTGTCGTTGCGGATATATATATATATATATATATATATATATATATATTATCAATTCAATAATACCAAAACCTGCAACTGTAATCTAACAATCAATAGTAATATGAAACCAAGCTATTATTTAACTTATTTACTCCAAGAAACACCTATTCTGGATGTGTATTTTTAATCAAATATGTATTCTTATTCTGGCATGCAGCCATAAGCTTGCTTCTCTTATTTAACAGCTGGATGCCCATTCGCTGTAGGATTTTATACATATATATATATATATATATATTAAACAGGTTTGATTAAAAACAACCAACAGAGTCTGTCCTTTTTGTTTTTATTATATTTTACAATTTTCGAATAAAGTTTTGAGTATTGTGCTTGAAATTGTGGATAAACTGTCCAAAGTTAACATAGTATTATTGTTTTGTTCAAACACTTTCAACAATCTTAGTCATCTTCAACAACCAATATGGTCTGTGTGTGCTCGGCAGAATTCCTTTGTCTACATCCTGGTATTCTTTGGAAAGCTGGAAGTTTGCCTACCACTCAGACACCACATTGGTTGTTGAAAATGTCTCAGATGGTCGAAAGTACTTGAATAAAACAATAATACAACATGAAGTTTGAACAGTTTCTCCACAATTTCAGGCACAATACTCAACAGCTTATTTGAAAATTGGAAAAATACAACAGAAAATTAACCAGACAGACCATGTTTGTCCTTTTTAATCAAACTTATTTGGATGAATACTTGCTGCCTAAATATACAGATATATAGATCTTTTAGTTTATCATAGATGCAACAGCAACAAACAGATATATATATATATATATATATATATATATATATATAAAAACACACACACAGAGGCATAGATGGTCTGGCTTCCACAGCAAGTAGGTTTTTCTGGGAAAGAGTTAGCTACATGCCCAATAAATTTTGAATTCAGTGTAGTCTTTCTTCTTGATTGGTTGATAAGCAAAACTGAAGAGCCCTGTCTTCCTTACTATTTAACTCATAGCTGGGGAGAGAAGGGATGGACTCTTCCAAGAAATTGAATGCAACTAATTCAGCTAGTCAATTTTTTGTTCTGAGCTGATATTATACCTCTACATCCTCTCTCTCTCTCTCTCTCTCTATATATATATATATATATATATATATATATATATACACATAAATACAGGGGGTGTGATGAGTAAATTGTCATCATTTTATATTTTTAATTTTATGCATGTGCCTTGTTGATTTTGTCGGTTGCACAGTATATTAGAGTCAGTTGGGCACTGTCAATGAGAAAAAGAGCACCATGATATAACTCACTCCACTAGAAATATGGAAACGGATTGCTATACTGATTGACATTCGTGCTGGAAGCTTCAATACGAACATTTCAGAGTGTTTGGGTATCAATCTGAGGACAGTGCAGAGGATTCAGAAAGAGGTGAATGAGTCTAATGGTGATTATGGAGATACAACAGCTCAGAAGACTCACACTGAATATTCTGATAATAATTCACAAATTTGTTGTTGAAGGCCACAGACTCAACATGAAGTGCCTTGAGGAGGTAGTGCTAACCTGGCCTAAGGGGGTGGCTGCTGGAAGACCCTATGTCTGGTAACAGGACACTGCACTATTCCCCACAAACAGGAGAACCTTACATCTGGTGGGGCACAGTTGAGTGAAAGACCAAGAAAATTCCTTGTAATACCAAAAATGAACTGAAGGCAAGGATTATGGCAGCATTCACCAAATTAAACATGGAGACTGTCCAAAAGTGTTGAAGGAGATTCTGAAGTAGTCTGGAGGCCGTGGTTGAAGCCAATGGCAATTTTATTGACTAAATCTACTCTTTAGTATTTCAAGATATTTTTATGTAATTTTGGTAAATTTATCTGTTAAAATGAGATGTCAGTGTTATTTTATTTTTGCATTATTTAGATGACAATTTATACATCACACACTGTGTATGAGTTGGGATCAAATATGGATAAGACTCCAACAAAATGATAAGATAAAAAACAAATAGGAAATTTTTATCATTCTAACATGTTTCACTTTTCTGAAAGCTTCATCAGAGAATGAGATATGGAGAAAAAGAAGAAATTCTGATATTTTACTTTTGCGTTGTTTGATTTCCATTAGTCAATTATGTTTCACATGCATTTGATCTTGTAAACTAATGTTAATATAATTTGTGATATTCTGAAAATCAAGGAAAGAGGACACACCTTTCTGAAGTTTGAAGAAATTAACAGATTGCAAGCCTACCCCAAAAACCATACATACTGCTATATATATATAATTTAAATAAAAACAGACCACTTTAATGTTCCATGTAATAAATTATTTCACCACAGCCCTTACATAAATTTATTACATGGAACCTTAAAGTGATCTGTTTTTATTTAAATTGTTTGCTCTGGATTTACAGTGATCTCTCTGGATTTTATCCTCCTTAGGTTTGCCCATATGGATTACCTAGTTTTTCATAAACTATATATATATATATATATATATATGTATATGTAGGTGTATAATACTTACAGTTTGTATATGTAACCCAGAATACCTAAGTGAAGAAGTGAGAAAACATTTAGACTTCTTCATTACCCATAAAATTTCATTCTCAATGCTAGAAAATAAGCTTACAAAATCCACAAATCAATCATTCTAGACTCCACTGATAGCACTTCGAACAACAACACAAACTTCATAATCCTACCCTCCAACACTCTTTCTACTAAACTTGTAAATAAACTAGTTATCCCTTATACTAGTGTCATTACCACCATGCCCAAGAAAATCTGAGATATAATTAGGAAATAAAATAAATCCAAAACTAATTCAGATGTCATTACTTATCAAATAAATTTACAGTATAAAAGAATTTATGTCGGGGAGACATCTTGTAGCTATGAATACAAGAGAGATTGACATTTAGACAATTCTTGTAATACACAGGAACAAGACTGACCAAAACTTTGATTTTGCTAATGCCAATCTAATTAAAATGAACATAATTCTTTACATAGAAAAAACTTAAAGGGTTTACTAATGACAATATTACCAACTATAAATATATGTCAAAAACATTATATTACATCATCAACCTTTATTGAACTCATTCTTAAAAAAATCTGAGGTATGTTTATCTAAAACAATTTGTATGCACGTAAAAACATTCCAAAATCAACATGCATAAAAAACAACAAACACAATGTCTACTAGACATAGACACACACTCTCTTATGAATATAAATTATGTTCTGAACCATACATAGACAAATTAAAATTATTATACACTTACATACATAAAGCAAAATTTATGGTTTTTCAGGTAGGCTTGTGATCTGTTAATTTCTTCAAACTTTGGATAGATGCATCATCTCTCCTTGAATTTCAGAATGTCACAAATTATATTAACATTGGTTTAAAGTATCAAATGCATGTGAAATATGATTGACCAATGAAAATCAAACACAAAAGCAAAAATACCGCAATTTCTTTCTTCTTTTTCTCCATATCTCATTCTCTGAAGAAGCTTTAATAAAAATGAAACATGTTAGATTGATAAACATTTCCTATTTGTTTTTTATCTTATCATATATATGTATGCATATATAGGTTAAATAACAGTGAATTGTAAAGAGCATAATTAATGAGGTACAAATCTTCAGTAATTAAGTTTAGACATCTAATATTGATAATTATAAAAAATAGAGAACATAGCTTATATTTTTACAATTGCATTTACATGCGTGAGTCAGAAAATGAAAATTTAACTTACAAGCCTCGAGATGTATGCAACAAGAGGGTCACAAATGTTGATGTCCCTGGACAAAGGCAGTTATTGGCAAGAAGGGCATATTTGAATTCGTCTTCACAAACTATGTGTTCTATAAAAGACAGGTGAACAATATAATGCAGAGAACCAAAATTCATACAATACCAAACTTAAGGATAAGAGGTGTAAAGGGAAACGTTGAATAACCTACCTAATGGGTTTGTGTGAATGAATGACAGAGTAAGGATGGTAAATAGTCAAAAGTTGCTTAGAGCAACAAGGAGCAGTAAGCAAGCCATGACCGTTTATCAAACTGAAGGGACATGGTGCATAAAAAGAGAAACAAATTTTTCTTCGATCTATTGACTATGAGAAATAGGTTCAGGATATACATTATACCCAAGTCTGGATAACCAAATGGGACTTCCATGGATGTCAGAAAATGTGAGTGCGTATTAATGACAATTTTTATGTAAACTTACATTAGTTCCTTGAACTTATGATCCATAATATGTTGGCTGAGTAATGCAGAAGTGAAGAGAAACTTTATTTATACCTGATAAAATTCCTTTCATAGGGTGTGTGTGTGTGTGTGTGTACGTGTGTGTGTGTGCGCATGTGTCTCATATATCTCTCAGGCATGTGGCTGTGTGGTTAGACTTTTTGCTTACCAACCATGCAGCCAGTTTGAATCTCACCAGGATTGATATATCAGGAAGGTGATTTCTTGTTATTATCAGTCTGGGGAGGTGATCCTAGCCTGCAGTATCTTTGGAAAGTTCCTAAAAACTATACCATGCCTTATGATGGAACTGTTTGGAAGTTTTTGATGGTTGTGCTCCCATGAAATCACAAGACTTTGGGACTGAGGGTTTGTGCATACTGGTGTTGTTCATATTGCTAACCATGCCAGATAATGTATTCTCTTCCAGAAACTGTAATGAAGGTTTACTCAGCATAGTTGCAATATAAACCACTGGTTGGTTCTGAAGTGTTGAATAAACACAAACGTGCTTGAACAGGTATCTGAAACAGGGACTGCTTAGTCACCCTAGTAGATGGGTGTGCTTTGTAAACGAAAGTAACTTATCATTATGTATATGTACTCACACCCACACAAACAACATTTTTGTTTTATTTATCTGTTAAAACAATGTTTCACTTAGCAATTTTCAAAATGGGTGACTTTTTAATAATGTTGCTGAGATTAATACTTTTATTTTTTTTTAAAGAAATGTATTAGTTTGCCAACTGTTCAAAATAATTTCATTTCTTTTGTCTATAAAATTATTCATGTTCTTAAATTCTACAATTCGCAATTTATTCTCTGTGAAAACATTTAAACTGCAATTTCTTCCAATATTTCTACTTAACTTTTTTATCATACTCTGTTCTAATAACAGAGTTCTCTCTCTTTATCTTAAATTCTCACAAATATTTTGACATAGTGTTACACTTATGTTAGTGTTTAAATGATAGTATATGATTTGCATATTTCTCTTTGAATTATTTCCCTATTGCTCTGATATAAATCCTCACTTTCTTCGTTTTCTTTTGTTGTCACTTTTGCCTGGAGTAATACATTTTCCTTTTTGCAATTTCCCTGCAATGGGCAGTTGTTTTTATTTCTACAGCCATATTTTTGTTGTATATTAAAAGCTCTTTTAAATAAATTTAAAATAGAGGATTCTTATGTATGTAATAAAAAGCAAATATATTTAAAATGGTCAGCCTCATCATTAACTACAATACTACTACATATCTTAAAAAAGAAAAAAAAATTAATTTAAAATTACAATGTTCCAACATTTTTGGCATTTCCTGTCAGGGCATAATTTCAATCAACACGTGTGTTTTTATATTCCCCCCACCCTTTCCTTCCTGTACATATAGAATTCCATCAACAAAAACATTACTTTAGCCTAATGAGGTTCTGAAGGATGAAACATATCACATGAAGTTTTTAACACTTTGTCATTAATTTGCCTAAAATACAGAAGAATGTAAATGCTTTAAATTACAATAAAGAGATTTAAAAAAATATTAGTCATCTTGATGGTATATATATTATTAAATCTTACCTGCAAATTTGACGTGAAATTTATTTTCTGGTCGGAAAATCTGGACGTACAATGGGCAAGATGGTGCAAAGTCTTTTACAGCCCATGATCGAAGGATTGTATGTTGATCCTGGAGACAAATGAAAATGGGAAATATATTTTATGCAAATTTCTTCCCGTCTTACAATAAACATTTAAAATTATCAGAGAAATTATCAATTTTCAAGAGAAAAAACATAAAAATAGAAACAATATTAAAAAATTAAAAATTAGAAAATATCAAAATCAGGAAAGACATTAAAAAATTAAAAAAAAATAAAAACTTAAAAATAGAAAAAACATAATAGAAAAACGTTTAAAACATAAAAATAGAAAAAAAAAACCTTTACAAACAGAAAAATCAAAAGAACATTAAAACAGAAAAATCAGGAAAACATTAAAACAGAAGAAGCATTAAAAACACAACACCATTAAAAACTTGAAAATAGAAAAATATTAAAAGCAGAAAAAGCATTAAATTCTTTTAAAAAATATAAATACGTACTTTAAAAACTTCAAAATAGAAAAAATATTGGATTTATTTGGTTCCAGAAACATGTAAAAACAAACTTTCATGTCAAAAGGAAATGGAAATCATAAAATTTTAACATTTTAATACCATGTTTGAGATGCTTCCACAAGCACTAAAATCTTAACCTCTTCATGTCTAGAATCAATCATCATCCATCCTGCATATTATCATAATCGAGTTCACCCCAAGCAAGGTAGTAAAGTCACTAAGACACAAGGAATTACTGGATGTGGAAGAGTTAGAAACAAAAATATTGCTAAGGAGTGAGAACAAAAGAAGAGTAATCAGAAGGACAGTAGATAGCAATTGACATTGCATTTAAATTTTTGCAGATTACACATGATTTTGTTTTATTTTCACTTAATACAAAGCTCAAGAACCACTCAAGGTAGAAAATTAATGAGGTGAGTAATATGAACATCTGAGAAAGAAGTAGGTAGTGAAGATTATGAAGGTAGAGAGGATAGATAATGATTGAACATGGATTTGAAGCATCCTTTCAGAAGTCTGTTTCACAAAGTAGCAGTTCTTGGGGAAAAATACGAAGAGGAACTTCCTTTTTACAAATAGAATAAAATAAAAATAAGGATGATTTTTCTCTGTGGATGTATCATGGTGGATCTTAGCTCTAAAGGTCAGAATTGTTAGATCTAAAAAACATAGCTCACCAGAATATTTGCTACAGAAATAGCAACAAAAGAGTGATAAGCTTTCCATACTCTCTATGTTGGAAAGGTGGAAAATAAGTAATCTCTTACAAGGTCGCATTAACACTTTTGGATTCTGTCATATTCCATGTCGACAAGATCTGTGTCTTATGAATAATCAAGAGTGGTCTCCCCTTGTTTCGTTACTCCCCTCTTTGAGAGAGCTATTTCTGTTTACTGGGACTATAAGAGGACACTATATATGAACCTTGTATTTTCAGTTGAATAAAGCTTTCTTGAAGCCTACACATGTGTACTTTTGTCATTACAGTGTGTTTGTAGAAGGTATAATAGCATCTGAAACAAAGTGGAGATGTTGAGAAAAATTGGAAAAAACTTAGAAACAATTCATTTTACCAACATCTGTTGGTCTCAGCATCTTCAGGTCGGAATGAAAGTCATCCCAAGAAGCAAACACGAAACACTAAGAACATTAAACTATACAATCTGTGTATATGTTCAGTAATACCTTATATCCACTGAGAAAAAAAAACAACTATCAATAAAGCAAGAAAAATCGGACTGGAATGTCAACAAAATAATATCTTGTCAAAACCAGAGTCAGATTAGTCTGAATGTAAATAATGATAACTCCTCACCCAAGAAAGCAAGACAGAAATCACAGATAATTTAAAATATACTTAGTTGGTTGATTTTGTTTAGTGGCATATCAACAACTCTATGGGTTATTTAATGCTGAAATCTAAATATTTTGTACACAATTTTATGGCTTCAGCTACAGATACTTTGTACATCACTTTATACTTTCAGGGTAAATATATCTTTTTTAGATATATAATTTTATATTGTAGAGGAATTAGAACTCTGAGTAAATAATTATAAATACCCTTGCATTTATATACATACAAAAATACTCATAAAAAATGAGAAGCAGCAAGACATGCAAACAACAAAACAAGTATCATTTATTATCTGGTTGCTATATGGTGTTGAAGACATGAGAGACAATAATACTGAGTAACATTGTAAGTTTGGGGTTAAATGTTGATCAAATATGGAACAGAATCTGACAGAAGAATAAGATAAAGAATAAGGAAAGTGTATACAGTCTTTCATGTATATTGTTTTATAGATGTGTGTAATAAGTGCCCAGATAATTTAGTTGGAAAAATACAAGAAATGTCTGGTGTTTTCTTACCTTGATTTTTGTTAAGTGTTAAAAGATAAAAGTTACTGTTATGGTCTGAAAAGGAGATTTTTGTTGATGCATGTGTTAATGACCTGTCTGTGTGAACCACTTGTCTGATAGTAAGAATGTGTAGAGAAGTGGGGTTGATTCTCACTGGTTTAGAATTAGTGAATTGACAATATTATAATTATTTTTTGTAACACTATAATTAATTTTTATTTATTTTTTTTATGGACATGACAAGATGATAAAATGTATTGTTGATAACTTTTATCAAATGTATTGCTGGTAATTTTACTATAAAATGTATTTTTTATACTTTTTAGTGTTGTATTGATTGTCATTTTATTATAAAAATGTATTGTTGGTAATTTTTTTATAAAAACTATTTTTTACTAAAAAATGTATTTTTATATTTTTCTAGTGTTTTGATTTTTGTTTGGGTGTTATCTGTTTGTCCATAGCTGGCACCCTAACAGGTGCTACCACTCAATCTCAAAGTAGACCTGGGAACAATTGCAATTAAGAGGTGGTTCCATACTCCTCAAAAATCCAATCTCCCAATCAGAGGTCTTGCTGCTAGATGTTATTTATCTTCATAAGCAGGAATATTAAAATATGAAACATTGTGTTTAAAATCTGAGGTCTTATAGGTGCTGATATTAAATAGGATCTTGACAATATGATCCTTTTTATTTTTGCAGAACACCCAAGAGCAATGACTATAAAAGACTGAAATGTTAAACTTACAGCTGCATTTTTATCTGCATAATTTCTGGCTGCTAGTATCATACAGGCTTCAGCATCTTGCATTCTGAAAAAGACAATTAAAATGTAATGTTATACTGGATCCTTGTTTGGATAGTTAAATTGAACAAGGACATATTTACACCTTAGCTATAATAACAATCATTAATCTTTGTTATTGGTGATTATAATAATAATAATAGTTTGGCTTTTCAAACAAACTTTTAATAGTGTTTGTCATATTTGTTCAGGTGGCAAGTCACAATGATACATGTCTCTCTCAACAATCCAAGAAAGCTAAGTATTTCAAACTGTCTCTCTTTGTCTACTTTTGAACTGATGCAACAGTATATCTCTTTGGTGAGCTACAAACTCTCTTACCTTTGTCTTAAACATTTCTGAATATTATTTTGTGTCAGATCATTTAATCTGTTGTATGAACATTTCCTCTTCATGACAATACTTTAAAACTATGGACTTTAATAATTCAGATTTACTTTTCTGAAATGAGCTACTGATACAAGTTAAAGCATGTAAATTCATGAATAAATTCCTTATCTCGTTTTGTTAAAATTACCTGTGTTTCCACATCATTATTGTTGTGATACTAAGCTAACACCCACACCTTGTTTTGTTATCACACATGAATGGTCCCTTGCCTCCTATTAACCCCTTCTGCTTCCCTTGCCTCTTACTAATTGCTCCCTGACCATTTTCTCCTACTCACTTCCTGTAATGGCAACAGGAAATCAATAAAGGATTCATTTTAACCATTCAACTGTCTTGTCCTTAATCCATCATAATCAGTGATGCAGATAACACAACATAGTGTCAGAAGTGGAATTTTACTTTGGTCTCATTCTCATCTAGTTTTGGGTTTAAACAAATTTTTCCTGGCTGGTGTTCTTGTTTTTATAGTGAAGTTGAATGTCACTAAACCCAACTTCCGGGAGGTTTGGAGTCAAAGCAAAATTGGTCCTTTGGATGTGACAACATGGAATAATGCGCTTGTTTTATTGGAGAACCCCTAAATGCAAACAGCTGTGTAGGAGTGTCCTTGAGTAATACACCTTTTAAATGCTTAAATACATTCAGTAGGATTAAGTTGCTCATATCACCTCTTTCGACCTTAGCATTCACTTTGATCTGCGATATTCTATTGCCAATTCATATTTTAACACAGATCTTGTCCCTTTTTTATGTACTGCAGACATGGTGTGAAAGTATGCATCTTTTCTCAAGAATACCCCTTTACTATCATCCTGTGTGGTTATGTGGACGTTTCTGCCTTTTGTTTTGTTTTCAGTGTAACTTGAGGCCCTGCCTCGTTTATTACTGGATTCTTTTGAGTAGCATCAGCAAAATGTTCACTTTTTTACATTTTAAGCAAGTTCTGACTTTTGCAGAAAATTTGCCCTGATAAAATACTCCAGCAAACTAGAGACATAAACTGCAAGCTCAACCCTGAAAAGATTGTTGTAAGAGCATCCAAAATTCCTTTCTTTGGTCAGTTTATATCAAAGGATGGTATAAAACCAAATCTAAAGAAAGTAGAAGCTATTATATACATGCAGCCACCCACAGATGAAAAACTGTTGGCCATCTTCTTGGGATTGGTCAACTACCTCAACAGATTCTCCCTTTATCTTGTGACTCTGATCAAGCCACTTTGCAATCTGATGTCAAAAGATAATGAATTCATCTGATCAACCCAGCAACAATTGGCATTAGACAAAATTCAAGACAAGGTACAAAAGGCCACCATTAGTTGGAAATTTCCTAACAGTTACTGAGGTTTGCCTATCATCCAGTTCACACTCTTCCTCAGTCTTTTGAACATGAGAAGAGGTTTATCCCTTGTTTCCTGTTTAGGATTTGGTTTCTTCGAAATTCTACATCAGCACTATACTCTTAATACTTGTCCTTTCCTATGCTAATATAATCAAAAATAATAACCCTCTACCTTGAGTGGCTCTCTAGCCTTGTATTGAGTGAAAATTATTTAAAAAAAAAAAGAAAAGGTAGACAGACAACTGAAAAAAGTGCAAAAGGCTCAACAGTCAAATTGTTGGGATAACAACAACAAAGATAATGACATTAGTCTGATGGTAAATTATATACATATTAATAAGGCTGTATCTGTAATTAGGAGAACAAAATATAAAGTTTTATTTTAGAAGTAGCTCATTCTTTTCCATGTTCCTTACAGGTACTAAATATAATTATGTCTTGTCAGCATGTGACTTAGGAGCAATTTGGTTGGCTTACTAAACATTTGATATCGGTTGATTGACCATCAGCTACCATTGCAGTTGTGAGTTTTCTCTTGACACATACGGTATGTAGGGATGCAGAAGTTAATTAACTCCTTTTGACAGGAAGAATTTACATATATCTCAAGGGTTATGTGACAGCTCTTTGGGAACAACAGTCTGTTACTGTTTAGTTTTCTATTAGTGAGGGCATATGACTGGAGTTTTAGAAGGTATTTTATATTACCATCACAAAAGACAAAAATTATTAAGAGCTACAAAGGAAATTGTGGAGAGCCATGATCACCAATGTCCTGAAGAGGCATGGCATACAGAAGAAGAAGAATATGTATATTTATATATTTAAAAACTCACATGTAAAAACCATATAATTATAAAAACTTAAAATATGCCATCATTTTTGACAGCATTTGGAAACTCGTAATGAAAGAAATTTTTTTTTTTTTTTACCTGCATCTAGCAAGATCAGAGTCTTTCAAGGCTGATCCCTGGATGTAGATGACTCTTTGTGCCCACAGTGGTACTTGCAACAGCATCTTCATGGTTGGGTCCAGTTCACATGGTGATAATAGCACCACAAAATAATCCTGAAAATTAGAGTGGAATAAAAGATATGATTCTCACTGTGAGATAAAACTAGTTGAAAAAAGAAGAGAGTAAAAAAATTTAAAGACATACAAAGGGTAAAAGGAAATTAAAAAAATATATTTGTAGTGAATTTAACATTTGATTAACATATAAGAAAGAGTGCTTGATTTTGTTAATATTTCATTATTTATTTTCATCATTGTCCTAACACTATATACGATATGATATGGTAATGGAACTAAAGCAAGCAGATTGAAGTGGCTTGGCACAGATTGACCTTGAACTAGTTTATGCATACACACTAAATTATAATTTTCTCATTCACTTCTGTCATTTATAGCAGTGCTTGGAAGGAAAGTGTGTAGAGTGTGGTCATCTCATTATACCACAAAGGTAACCATCAGTGACCATGGCTTGTGCAGCTGTTTTTAGCTGTTTTTTAACATTCCCCAAATTCAACAACATCATATTTCCAAGATCTTGTCCCTTGCAACTTTTTCCTCGTTAAAAATCAAATCCCACTTGAAAAAAACAAGATGTTGAAAAATCTAAGAGAATGTGATAAGGCAGCTGCTCACGAACCCCAAATAAGGGGTTCCAGGAATGCTGCCATCGAGGGAAATACTGGATAAAGTCTGTGGCTTCAGGGGCAGAGTATTTTGAAGCAGATTAAATGCCAAATTGATACATGTCGTTTTCTTTTTATAGCACCAGTCCAGACACTTTTTGGTCAGACCTCATATGCATAGGAATTCCAAAAAAACATACCAGTAGCTAATCTATATTTCATTAACACATTGAAGTGCCAACCAATGAGGACTTCTGAAGTGATGAGATACTATACTATGAAGTGATGAGATATTTTATTCATATTTTCTTAAAGTTCAATGGTATAGACCCCTAAATTATTATTACTATTATTGATTAGTATTTACTTCATCTTAAGTTTCTTACTTGCTTCTATCACAACTTGACACAGGTCTATCAATCTATAGTAGTGGCTTAACAGTATTTATCAGAAATAAAGTGCAGACTGGAAGTGAGACACCAATTCACATCTCTTTTGTCCCAAACATACCCTGATAATAACATCAGCCAATCTAATGAACTGATCTATGAATACCCGAGGGTTTGCAAAAGATCAAATCTAATCTTAAACACATCACTATTTCATGATCATTCTTGACACCATATCTGTTTTTACACTAGTAGAATAATTAACAACAGAATTATCTTTATTTTATATATTTTTGAATGAAGAATTATCATAGTACAAATTTTGCTTGTTCTTTTGTTAACACATATGTTATGGCCTGCCAATACCTCATAAATAATAGACTATTCTGTTTTGATCATGGGGAGAGCTGGAAGAGTCATATCAGTGTTGTTTGGTTTCAGTAAGAAAAAGAAACCAAGGGTAGAGGAGGTGATAATGCTTTCATGTATTTAATGCCTGCTTCAGTGAAATGGAAACATTTGTTAATACTAATACTAATTATTATTATAACAACTATTATTTCATATTCTTCTTATTGAAGCTAGGAATCAACTCATAAAAATTTTTATTGCTTAAATTGGCTATTATAAAGTTGTAACCCAGTACAAATTGGTTAAATTTGTTAAGCTCAAATGAGTAAGGATGCAATATGGATATGCCATGGGTATATTGTAATCATGGAACTCACATTGAGCTTATTTATTCATTTAATATTATGATATATCAGAAAATTCAAATAGAAAATTCATGAAATTTTCACAGGTACTACTAGTAAACCATTATCATATTTTCCTTTTTTTCTAGTTACTTTTTATTGCAACTTTACTGAGGCTGATGAAAATAAATACTTGACAGAATTAGTATCTATCTATATTTCTGAGATGAGTTATTATGTACACTATTTACATTATTCAGACTATTGTTCTCATCTTTGTTGCCATATTTATCACAACGTTTTGGCCATTGTATGCTCCAGCCTTGTTCAGGTGGTTGGAATGTCAAACTGAACCCTTTATTTCGCTCTCTGGGATAGACTATTCTAGTTCCATGTCTAATGGATGTCAGTTATCAGTTATCTCCTGTTAATTCCCCTCTCCAAGTTCTTTAACTACGCCTTTATCCACTGTGCCATGTGTCCTCAAGGACACATGACACAGTGGATAAAGGCATTAGTTAGATCCAGTAACAGGACCCAAGAGAGTGTGAGTTCAATACCTGGTTAAGGCAGTGGAGAACTTGGAGAGGGGAATTAACAGGAGATAACTGATAACTGACATCCATTAGACATGGTACATGGTACTACAATAGTCTACCTCAGCAAATGAAATAAAGGGTTCAGTTCAACATTCCAACCACCCAAAGAAGACCGGAGCATACAACTGCCGAAATGTTGTGATAAATATGGCAACAAAGATGAGGACAATAGTCCGAATATTGTAAATAGTTGACAGAATTAATAATAATAATAATGACAGTGAGTGATAATGTTTCACCTAAGAAAGAAAAAGTAAAGATAATGTTTCAGCTATTGTTACCAAATTAAATGATCATAAAAAATTAATATGTTTAGTGACCGAAACAACAAGGGCAGTCTTTGGATTACTGCTCACTGAAACTCATTGAGTTGTATTGAGTTTTGATATAATTAACTACCTATTCAAAATGCCAGCACATTAAAATACTTTTAAGAAATTGCATATCATATCAGTTAAGAAACAGAATTATAGGTGTGTTAAAATACTGTAGAACAAAGTGAATGTAACATTAGAAAAGCAAGCAAATGAAGGAACACAAAAAAAAGTAAACAAAATAAGGTGAAGAAAGGCAAGTAAATAAAAGAAGCAGAAAAAAGCAAATAGATGAAAGAAGCGGAAAAAAAGCAAGTAAACAAAAAACCTAAAAAGATCAAATAAATGAAAGGCAAAAAAAGCAACCAAATGAAAGGTGAAAAAAGCAAGCAAATGAAAGAAGACAAAAAAAGAAAACAAATGAAAGAAGGCAAAAGCGAGCAAATGAAAGAATGCGAAAAAAGTGAGCACACAAAAGAAGGTGAAAAAAAGCAAGTAAATGAAATGGAGGTGAAAAAAAGAAAGCTAACAAAAGAAGGTGAAAAAAAGCAAGTAAATGAAATGGAGGTGAAAAAAAGAAAGCTAACAAAAGAAGGTGAAAAAAAGAAAGCTAACAAAAGAAGGTGAAAAAAAGAAAGCTAACAAAAGAAGGTGAAAAAAAGAAAGCTAACAAAAGAAGGTGAAAAAAAGAAAGCTAACAAAAGAAGGTGAAAAAAAGAAAGCTAGGAAAAGAAGGTGAAAAAAAGAAAGCTAACAAAAGAAGGTGAAAAAAAGAAAGCTAACAAATGAAGCATAAAAAACACAAATAAATGAAAGAAGGTGAAAAAGTGAGCAAAAGAAAGAAGGCGAAAAAAGCAAGCAAACGAAAGAAGGCAAAAAAAGCAAGGAAACAAAAGAAGGCAAAAAAAGCAAGCAAATGAAAGTAGCCAAAAAAAAGCAAGCAAATGAAAGTAGCCAAAAAAAAGCAAGCAAAAAAAGTAAGGAAAGATAAAACAAGCAAATAAAAGAAGGAAAAAAACAAGCAAATGAAAAAAGGTAAAGAAAGCTATCAAACAAGAAAGGGTAAAAAAAACAAGTCAATGAAAGAAAGTAAAAAACAAGAAAGCAAATGAAAATGAACAAAAGAAGGTAAAAAAAGCTACTCAATGAATGAGGTTAAAAAGCGAGTAAATGAAAGAAAGTAAAATATAAGCAGATGAATGAAAAAATGAAAAACTGAAGTCGAGAAAAAGCAAAAGCAGATTTAAATGAAAAATGTAAAAAAAACAGTGGAACAAAGAAATGAGGATGGTGCATTGTATGAAAAACAATTAAGTGAAAGGAAGAAAAGGAAAGAGATGAAGGAAAGAAAAGAGAAAAAGAAGTGGTAGCAGATAAAACAAGGAGGAAGTAGAAAAAGAGCAGGTAAAAGGAAGAGAAAAACGTGTATAATAATAAAATATTGACTTTCATACCTGAAGTTTTGGATGAGCATAGAATTCATTAAGAAAATCCAAAACTGTGTCAGCTTGAAGAGTTGTTGTACAAACAACAACATGTTTCTCTGTCTGAGCACGATGGCTGCTATAAGTTCCACCTTGTTTCTGCCTTTCTATCCATGTATAAGCCAACTGTTCAAACTAAAAACAAATATTAAAATTAGCTGTTTTATTCTGAGAAAATCAAGCAATTATGAAAATTTAAATATCTGGGAAGTGTTTTATCAGGGGACAGAAAATGTGACACTGAAATCAAAAGGTATACTGGAATAGTGAAAGATGACTTCCAAAAACTAAGAAAATTATCAAGAAACAGGAAAATTACATTAGCAGTTCAGCACTTTTATTTCTATGTAATATCACTCCTCCTATATGCCACTGGATGCTGGAACTTATTCCAGATGAAGAGTAGACTTGAAGCAAGAGAAATGTGGTTCTAAAGAAGCCTAGTGAGAATACCATAGAAAAAGCATGTAAGCAAGGAGGAAGTTTTAAAGAAGATGGGAACAAAAAGGACACTTATACTTATAAATTGGAGACATTGGAATAGTGAAAGTTGACTTCCAAAGTCTAAGCAAAGTATTAAGAAACAGGAAAATTTCATTAGCAACAAAGAAAAGCATGCTGAACTTTTTATGTAATACTGATCCATATACGGCAGTGAATATTGGACAATCTCCGATGAAGAAGAGACTTGAAGTAACAGAGGTGTAGTTCTACAGAAGGATGCTGAGAATACCATTGACTGAACATGTGAAGTAGAGAAATGCTGAAACTGTTTTGGTCACAATAACTTATGACTTCATGCATACACAGTCATTGATGGCTTCCAAACAGTTTTGTCAATCCAATTTCACTCGTATGATTTAGGTCAATCTTCAGTATGGTTTTTCAGGTACTTTCAAACAGTGCAGCTTATCTCCTAAGATTGCTAACATCAAAAAGTCACCCTCCTTAAACTGACCATGGTGAGATTCAAATCTAGGACTTGTGATTGGAATGCAGATGTTCTAACAACAGCTATGCACTCTGATAAAGCCAAAAGGAACCACAGTGGTTAATATATTGATATTATGTACATAGTTTTTTTTTTTTTTGGGGGAGGCGTCAGCATTTTTTTTTTCAATAAAACATACTAGTTCTTTTGTTCTGTTGTGTTATTTGTAAATACATCATATATACACCATCTATATGTATATGCTTATATATAAATCATAAGTATTTAGCAATGAGTACAAAAGTAATTTGTAATTTTGTTTGAAGTGGGGTCTCAATTTCCCATTTGGTTTATTAACAGCTTTGAATAAGTCTGCTTCCAATTATGGACCAGTCAAATAATCTTATCACTATTTCTTTATTTTCTACAACTTTGTTTTTATCAACATTTTTGGCTTTTTGTTTCTTGTAGCCTTGTTTTGGACTTTGCACTGAGTAAGACACATTTTACTAGCATTTACAATTTTTTAGGTCATGTTTCTTTGTTAGACATGAAAAAGCTCTCTGAGAGGGGAGAACAGTTCCAAAATACCTATATTGAAAAGCACTGAATTTGATGTTGATGGTAGGTAAAATGCACATCATCTTCAGATCAAAGTTTAATATTTGATTGATTGATTGATTCATTTTCTACAGCTTATCAACTCATTGCATTATATTTAAAGCTAAAAAAGAATTTTTTATTGGAAATAATAACGATTTAGTGATACAAGTCTTACTAATTAAACTCATAACTGTGGGGGGAAAAGATACATTTCCCAAGGGTATTTCCATGTAAGTGAATATAAAGAACCCAACTGGAATTGGAACTTGGCTCTCCAATTAACAATTCCAAGTCATTATTCATTATACCAACCATACATCAAGGATTATACCACCTGGTATTCCCAAGTGGTCATCCATCTACGTACTGACTAGTCTCAACATTAATTAACATTCAATGATTGTACGGCTGTGATATAGCCGAAAGATTAATATTTGAAATTCCAGAGAGTATAATGACAGCTCAGTCAGTTATGTGGCATGTGTAATATATGCTTAGGCGATCATGTATCTTTCGATACATGACTGACGAGGCAGATTTTTTTCCACAGTAGATTGCCATTTCTTTCTGTGTTAGACCAGTTGCCATCCAAGGCTATATAACCAGGTATATCCTGCTATTTACCCATAGCTGGTGAGTGGAGAAGAAACAGATTTATATCTTTCCAAAGGATATTAGCACATAAGTGAATGTAATGGATTTGACTGGAATTTGAACTCGGCTCTCTGATTCCTCAATCCGAACTGCTATCCATAACTCCACCATGCCTACTATAATAACAGTTAAGAGACAAAAAAAAAAAAGAGAGAAATTTTAAAAAAATATAAAAATGTCCTATATTGATAGATGAAGCTGCCCAATAAAGTGCATTTTTTTTTAAATTCAGAGTTGTCCTTTAGACTGGCGTCCACTCAAGGCTACAGAGTCCAGTCTACTCTGCATCTAAATCCATAACTGGTAGGAGTAGAAGAGATAGATTTCTGCCTGTCTCAAGGGCATTTGTGTAAAATTGAATGCAATAGGATAGATGGGAATTTGAATTCGGAACATTGATTTCACTTACCATGCCAATAACTGTTATGCCAACCGCACATCAAATATTATACAGATCAAATTTTAGTTAATAACTATATATCAGGGCTGCAGATGTATTGAACCATACTTGTATCTTTTAATGTTAAAAAATAATGCTGGAAACTTTAACATGTAAAAAATCAAAAAAAAAAAACATGTAAAAAACAGACTTACTTGTCTAGGGAGTACAATCAAAGTTGTACATATCATTATCATAACAAAGAGTTGGCTTGGCCAGATGTCAGGGTAGATATCTCCATATCCCACCGTAGAAAAAGTAACAATAACAAACCAAAATGCTTTAAAGAGATCTAATTGTCGTGCACCCCCTCGTTGAAGGTGCTGAATTCCACACACACTAAAATAAGAAAAATTCAAGAATACAGATATATTATTTCTATTATACTATGAAACAATTCGAAATATACATAAAACGGGTCTTATTTTATACTGACATTCAAATGCATCCAAACTAAATTTTGAATTGACATTCAATCAATTTATTTTAAAAGTAACCTAAAAATCCTAATTTACAAGATTGAAAATTTATTTTAAATATAGCCTAAAAAACATAAGTTACAAAATTACAAATTTATCTAATTTTTTTTTACAGTACCATATACCTACAAACATCCAAGCACTTCTCTCTTCAGTACAGTATTGTATGTAGTTGTTATTATATAAAAATATTTGAAACACTGATATTTATGCTACCATGGGTTCTGTAATACTATTTGTTGTTACTGCAGTAAAATAAAACCTAAGAAAGTTTTCTTATCAATAGAAAGTGTTATGTGCTGAGAGACATTTAAACAAGAAGGGTTAATACCAAAAACCTGTAGGAAGAATTGAGGATTTAATTTACACAGAAATGACTTGAATTGTATGTTGACCAGTTTGAACAATGGAAAAATGACCGAGACTTAGGGGGCAATGTTGATTGACACATAACTGCAAATGCAAACTGTAAAGCGAAAATTTCATTTTTACGAAACAACAAATTTGGAGTTGATTAAAAGACAGATGAGAAGGCAGAGAGTTCATCCTAGCTACCAGTCATGATACATCCCATCTGATTGCCTGCTGAAGAGAAGGCTCCGACTTCAGCCTTGTGCAAAACTTTACCAACAGCAGCAAACCAAATTTTTGCCATGTCAACGATAATATCACTTCCGATTTAGATGCAGACTGGGCTGATAATTAATTGCATGCAAACTCTAATAAACCAATTATTGTATGGAGGACTGATATAAAAACAGTATTTACTTTTGGTCAATTTATTCAAGTGTTATTTTTTTCTCAGTATGTCATTGCCCTGCTTGGGCCAACCTAACATGAAGATACCTGCGATGATTTGATCTTAGCTGCCTTATGATCAAACTTAAATCACAACGATTACATTTCTACCAGAATAGTTTCATCAGACTGACTGCCTGATGAATCATTCTGGTAGAAACTGTCATAGCATAAAGGTTGGCACTTCAAATATTTTATATCTTAAATAGCCCAACATTTTCATTTTTTGAAAATTGTATTGAGCACTCTCTTCTTAATTTAGCCTGTCCTTTTGACAAACATCACTTTCTGCCAAAGATTGAATTTATAAAGTATATATAAGTGGATACTTCATGGTCTGAAGATTGCATTTAAGCATGAAACAGACTGTTTGACCTCAATGTCCACATTTATATTTGCATATGCTATATTTCTGATAATTAGAATTTTTACAAATACATATAATATACCATATATTTTTATCATATATATATAGACCAGCACATAGACAATGGTCCCATGTCTATATGCCGGTTTATAGTGACAGGAAAAAATAACTCACCCACCACCACCCTCTGACCATACTTTTCTAATTAGTGTAGATCTGACATTTCATTGATTAATCAAGACATACCCATAAGTCTATTTTTAATTCTGACCTTATGCCCCCACCTCTAACTTTTGGAAAAGAGGTAATGATTTGTTTTTAAATTTCCTTAAAAATCATTTTATCACCAGTTGCCTAACATTGCCTGAAGAAGTACAATCATAGTATTGAAACATGAAAGATTTTGTGTAGGGATTTAAAAATGTTTTTATTATAATCTTTTATAATAAAAATATAATTATATATATATATATATATATATGTACACAAAATGTGATGGACAAATTATTGTCTAAAATAACTGATATCTTATTTTAACAGAGATATTTACCAAAATTACACAAAAATATGCTGAAATACTAAAGAGTAAATTTATTCAATAAAATTGCCATTAGCTTCAACCATGGCCACCTTGTTGGTGAATGTTGCCATAATCCTTGCCTTCAGTTCATCTTTGGTGTTACAAGGAGTTTTGGTG